GCCTGCTGTCCACAGCCCTGCTGGGCCACCTGCTCTGCTTCCACATTTATCTCAGTAAGTGCCTCCTGTATCTGCCTTCCAGAGTTTAAGGGTCCTCAGATTTCAGGGAGGTGCCCAACTGGATGGTGGACCCTAAAACAATGCCCCTGTCCAGTGTGGGCTCACTGTGGTAGCCAGGTCTCACTCTATATAGGCTTCGTGTATTTGGGGACACTGGTTTCAGCCTGGGGCTGGTTGTCCTCCCTCCTGTTCTGAGCTCCAGGGTCCCCTCTCCACTGCACTGAGCCCTCTCCTCACCCTACCAGTGTGGCACAAACTCACCACCTATGAGTACATCGTGCAGCACCGCCCACCACAGGAGGCCAAAGGGGACCACAGGGAGCTGGAGTTGTGTCCTCCCAAGATGCGGCCCATTCAGGTATAGTGGATGAGAGATGGGAGGAGGCTTGGGTGTCAGGGGCATTGGGCTGTGCAGCGAGCAGCCAGTGAGGAAATGGGGCAAGGGAGGCAAGCCTGGAACAGCCACTGCAGGCAGGGGTGCTGTGGACAGCAAGGGCTTGACTTGTGTGGAGCATGTGCCTTCTTGCCCAAGCGTGGGCACAGACAGAGGGAGCCCGTGTTTCCTGGACCCCACGTGCATGCCTGCCCAAGCGCCAGCCATGCATAGGAGGGCATGGGATGTGGAGCCTGGAAGCAAGCAGGTTGGGGCTGCAGCAGAAGAGAGAGGGAAGGACCAGCGACGGGTCAGTGATGGGTGGCCAGGATGGAGCCATTGTTTCTCCCCATCCATGACCTTGAGCACTTATACCCATTACCCTAATTTATGTTTAGAACAGCCCCATTGCAGATAAGCATACTGAGGCCTAGAAGGTTAACTGCAAGCTGGGTCTGGGAAGAGTTAAGGTCTCCATGCTCTGGCCAGCCTGGCCAGACCAGTTGCTGACCAGCCTATCCCCATTCCCACGCCCCATGGCTTCCTGAGGTCAGCAGCTGGGGGTGGAGGTGATCCAGTCTTTAGAGGAGCCCCTAGGGACTAGGAAGGCAGGGGCCCAGGCAGGCTTAGCTGGGAAGCCTGAGCCCTGGATCCCGAGGCCTCATGGCAACTGGACACAAACACAGGCTGGTGGGAGGGTTGGGGAAGGCCTGGGACCCTGCCTCTCCTGTTCTTGTTGCTAGGGCTGGACACTATCTGTGAGCCAGGCTGCAGGACTGGGCAGGCCTGGGCCTGGGGTGTGCTGGCTGTGGGTGACAACTCCACTATCACACCACTGTATACCTGCCCCAGCGCTGGGCCCTGACAGTGGCAGCTGTGCTGGGGAGTGGGCACCATCTCCAGCCCCACATCAAGAGGAGAGGAGGCCCAGAGAAGTAGGCAGGAGACTCTCTCCAGCCTCAGGGGCAGCACCCACTGAGGCAGGGCGGGCCCCTTGATGTCCATGCTCCAGGGCTCTTTAGCTTTGCCCTGCCAAGGCTTTGGAGCCAAATGTGGCCACAGCAAAGAAATTTAAGTTCTGTTCTGTCCATCTGTAGTGCCTCGAGGGAGGCGAACCTGGGGGACAGGAATGGTGTTCTTGGCCCCTTTTACAAAGCAGAGAGCTGAGGCTGAGGGCCCAGTACCATTCAGAAATGTGCATGGTTTTGAAGGTCTCTGAGGAAGGATACTCAGGACAGCCATGAGGAGAGGACTGGGCTCTGAGTGGGTAGTCCCTGGGGACACTCTCAGACTTATTGAGCTGGTTGGGGCCTGGTGTCCGTCCCATCCTGGCCCCTTAGCTTCTGAGACCTCCTCTGTTCCCAACTCTGAAGCCCAGGGCCCCCAGTAGGCTTTGCCCCTCTGCTGGCCCTGGAGGGTCACTGAGTCCACACTGGGGCAGAGAGGAGGTGTGGGGGAGAATGATCTTGAGGTACCAGCCCCTGTGACTGGCCTCTGACCCTGTGCTCCTTGACTCCTCTGCAGAGCTGCAACCAGGGCAGAGGTTGGGCAGGGCCGATGACGGGGCTCCTCCCCCAGATCTGTCAGGGCCCTGCAGTCAGCCGTCCACCCCCATCCCATTAGGAATGCGGGAGGGGCCCCTCTCTGGAGCCGTTGCCCCCAAACATAGGCTTGTTTTAGAGACGGTCTTGCTGTTACAGTGTCCTCTCTGCATTAGTCAGGACGCCTCCGTCTCCATGGAAACGGGTGCTGAACCCGAGACAGCTGTCTGGGTGCTCCCAGCACCCCCTCCCACCTCCGACCTCGCCCTGGACCCGCCCCCATCCCACACCACACCCTTCCTGGGCCAGCTTTCCCCCGCCTTTGTTTCCTCACCTGGAGTCCCCCACCCTCCTCCGCCTAGCAAAGCTGGGGCGAGTGAGTCCTGCGGGTGGGGGTGCAGGACTAGTCCACTCCTGTGACCTCCTGGTCCTAAGGCCCCTTTGCTTTCAGGGGTTGAATCTGCACCCTCAGGGTTGCTGTGAAGATCAGGGCTCACCCATAAGCGTGGTGTCCAGTGGGGCTATGGCTGTTTGTTCTACCACCTACTACCTTCCCTTTCAGGGGTAGTGGCAGGGAGACCACCTCACATGCACCCATACATCCCCTTCTCGGCAGCTGGGATCATGGCTGGTCCTCTGTAAGGGCGAGGGGTGTGCCCAGGACTCAGCTCTGCAGGAGCTGGTGGATGCACACTCAGGCCTGTTTCTCCAGGAGGGGAAAACAATTGGTTCAGAGGCTGGAGCCCTGGGGACGCCAGGAGCAGGTGCCGGCAGCTTTGAGCTTCCCACCACTTTTCTAGCTGAGCCTCTCTAAAGTGGGTCTATAGACCCATGGGGCTGGGAGCCTTCCCGGAGGAGGCTGAATAGATGAGATGAGGACCTGGGGATGGGGCAAGGGCCAGAAATGGGTATTTTAAGCTTTACCTTACAGAGGGGTTTTCCCAGCCCAACTGGGAGCCTGGCATGAGGCCTGAGATGTCCCACAGAGGCCAGTGAGGGCAGGACTGGGTAGGCTCAGGGCTCAGGAGGCTCGGGAGCCACACCCGGCCTCCCAGCCTCTTTGACTCCCACCTTCCCCAGGAGATGGAGTTCTACATGCGGACCTTCAGCCATGTGCGCCCAGAGCCCCCTGGCCAGGCCAGGCCAGCAGCAGAGAATGCCAAGTGAGTGTGACCTGGGCATGTGCCACTGAGAATCTCCAGTTAGCATGGCAGGCAGTAGAAAGAGGGTAGTTGGGGCATGGGTCTGGCTCTTCTCTGGGCTAATAGGAAGGGAAGCTTCTCTCAGGGCCTCCAGTGGGGAGGGATTTGGGAAACAGCCCCCAGGTTTACCCTCCTGCTTCCCCCTCAGTCCCGCCCAGTTTTTTGCCACCCGTGGCCAAGTGGAGCCTCCACCACCCTCTTCCCCAGACACTCTCGCCCTGCCTCCCCGGATCCGACCCCAGGTAGGAGGGACTGTGCTGGGCCTCTGGTCCAGGTGGAGTGGGATAGAAAGAAGCCTCTACCCTGGCCCACCCCTCTGCTGCTTTTGGCATGTGGGGCTCTCAGTCCTCCCCCCCCCCCCCGCCCCCGTGTCTCTGCAGAAAAAGAGGAAGAGGCGCGTGTATAAAGTGCGGACGTCCGAGACCTCGGATCAGGTGTTGGGTGAGCACCCCTCCCTGTCGGGTCCGGCTCAGTGAACTCAAGGGAAGGGAAGGCAGAGCCACGAGCGAGCGCAGTGGGCCCTGGGCTCATGTTCCCCTTCGCTGCGCAGGGCCCAGGGCCCCCGGCCGCCGCTACAGCTCGTCGGCGGATTCTGCGGACGCCAGCCCTGTGCACGCCGCTGGCCCTGCCGGCGCCTACCACTCGGCGTCAGCTGAATCCGTGGACGAGATTCCCGTGTCGCAGACGCGCCTGGGCAGCGCCGCTCTGGCCGCTCCGCGGGGCCGGGACCGAGAGCTGGGGCTGGCGCTGCAGGCGCGTGCGCCTGCAGTTTTCGTGAGCCCGAGCAGCGGCGAACCGGGGGCGCCGGGCGGCCGGGAGGCCGGTCTGGCTTAGCTGGGCCGAGAGGCCGGAGGGCCGAGGAGGAGCGGCCGGCCCTACTGTCTATGCAACACCCCACCCTTATCGCACCGAGTGCACTTTAGGGGCCCCAGTGGCCGGCGGGATTGGCCTCCTACCCCCACGATTTAGCAATACCCTCCCCACCGGTCGTGATGCTCCAATAAATTTTTTTATGCTTTTTCGGACGTCGTGCTTACTTTCTTAATGGCAGGGGCCATTGGCCATCCAGAAGTCCGACCCCGGCCAATCGACCGGGGGCGGGGAAGGGGTCTGTGTACAGTAGGTGGCCAACCAAGCTGCCCTGTGGAGTTGCTCAGGTGTGGCTCGTGGTTAGGGGCTCCTGGTTAGGAAAGGCCTTGGAAGGCGGCCTGGAGGAGGTTTTCCTTAAAGAGGGCTTTGCACTGGGAGACCAAGACAAAGCAGCAGCGGGCGCTGAGGCTGCGAGGTCGCAGCGAGGTGGCGGCGAAGGGAGGGGGCTGAACCCGAAGGTCCGGGCATTAGGGCCGCCGTCGAGTGTCAGCATCCTGGGGCTGGGCGAGAGCGATTTGCTGGTGGGGAGTCTCCTCCCTCCCCAGTGCTCCGTGCTCTGAATCCTACCCAGGAGAGCGCGGGAGTTGTGGCCTGGGGATGCCAGCCGTTCAGTGGATAGCAGTGCTCTAGAGCCAACTGTAAGACCCCTGTCACAGAGGGAGGGGTCCTTCCCGATTCCCCAACCCCTACCAATCCCCCGCTCCAGCTCCTCGACGGCCTCTGGTTGGCTCTCTGGGGAGCTGGATCTCCCCTGGAGATTGGGGCTGCTTTGAGCTTTAGGCAGATCCTAGGATGGGAGGCAGTTTCCGCGGGGGTCGTAGGAGGGCGCTGTCCGAGGACGCCCCGAAGTGCAGAGTGCTGGTCTCGTCGCAGCGAGGACCACGGAGTTGCCGGGGGAGGGGGTTGGGGCGGAGGAGCGGGATGCGGCTCTCGGAGCGGTGCAGAGAGGGCGGGGCCTCGTGGGCGGGGCCGGTATGACCTTGGTCACTCTCCCGCGGAGACAGCCTTGGGGGTGGGACTCACCGTCTCTATGGAGACCGAGAAACAGGGGATAATACGGCGGAGCCGCCCGGGCTGCAGTCCCACCCGGGAGCCGGCAGGGAGCGGAGCTTCGGAGCCGCCTGGTCTCGCGCGTCCATCGGTCCATTCCTGCGTCCTTCTGTCCATCCGAACACGCACTTCAGGAGCAGCCGCGAGGTAGAAGCCCATAGGATAGCCAGATGCTGACCACCTCAATCAGTATCCTGTACGATGAGGGTTGGGGGGAGCAGCCTGGAAAGGGTCCCAACCTCGGGCGGTCCCAGCCGAGGAGCCAGCTGAGCGGCCCTGCCCTGGCCCCAGGCATTCCACCTCACAGCCCCCACCTCCTGGTCCGGCTGATTGATGACTCCAGCTGTCCCAGTGGGAGCAGGACGGTTGGCCCCAGTTCATGGGTGTGGCCACTCCATCCATGGCCTGCAAACCCATGGGGCTGCGGCCTGCACCCCAGCGCCACCTGACTGCGCTGAGATGGCCAAGAATCCATCTTCCCCCGGACAGGAGTGAGCACTGCACGCAGGATCCTCCAAGTGCTTGGGGCAAGCACCCTGTGGCATCCAAGCTCCCCTGGACGTTACCCTTGGTGAACAGAGTTCAGGTCTTCGGTGCCCTAGTGGGAGGCTACACCCAGGGAAAGGGAAGGAAAGTGCAGTGTGGACTGGGGTTGTGGTGCTGCAGAGGCACTTGTAACATAGGAGCCACTGGTGCTCACAGTCCCAGAAACTGCCACTTAGGGATGCGGGAGTGTGGTAACTGGGGAGGAGTTTTCAGTGTCAAGGCCAGTGGTGGCGGAAGATGGGGCAGGTGGGAGCAGCCCAGGCTGTGGTCACTGGAGGTCCTAGTGTAAAAGGCAGAGCTAGAAGATGGTTGCTGAGACTGAGGGGGTGGTCAGGAGGTGGCAGTGGAGGGGGTGTGTGGTCGGGGGTTGGGATCTTTTTGCACAGGGGATCTCTGAATAGTACCTGGGAGTCTCACAATGTCAGTGTGTGGATGTGGACTGGGGCCTTCAGTGCAGGACTGAGGGTGTGGCCAGAGGGCTACGGGTGTGGGGACAAAGGGGTGCTGAGGGTCAGGGTGCCTTGATAAAGGGCTGTGGGTATTGGGGGGGGGTGAGTGGCAGAGGCTGTGGTTGGGAGTTTTAGGAAGGGATGCAGGTTAGGAAGCCTTAGGAAGCCTCAGCCCCAGGGCTGCAGGTGTGGGGATGGAGGAGGCTGCTGTGCAAGCTCAGGGTGTGGCCAGGGGCCTGCAGCAGAGGGCTGTGGGTGTGGGGAGCACTTTAGTGCAGGGCTGTGGGTATTACTGGGGTTGGTGCAGGCTTGTTTGTATATATGTGGGGGCTGGAGGCTGAGGGCTGTGGCTGTGGGTGTGAGGATGGAGGAGGCTGCAGTGCAAGGCTGAAGGTGTGGCCAGGGGTACAAGGCCCAGGGCGTGACAGGCCAGAGCTGAGTGCATAGGGTCGCTGGGAATGTGTGGCTGAGTTCAGGGCGTGGCCAGGGGCCTCAGTGGAGGGCTGTGGTGTAGACATGAGGAAGTGTGTTTCAGCCACATCCCCACTTGCCAGCACGAATCTTGGGGTTTGTAACACTACAGCCCCCACCTTAACTAGCCCCTAACCTCCTGTTCCCCCAAAACTCCACAGTGGGAGGTTACAGCCCCAGTGGGTGGCGAGAGGCCAGGAAGCCACGGTTATGCCCCAGGCACAGGGAGTGCTGGAGTGCCCCACCCGTGGCTCCAGATCCCCAGCCCAGCCCAGCCCAGCCCCTTAGCACTGGGAGCTTCTCCCTGAGCCGCCCTGACACCATCCTGCCCTTAGCAACATTCTCCAAGCAGCACTACCCTCCCTTAGCAACTGTCTCCAGGCTTCACAAACTGTGGCCAGGCCAGCCCCAAGCTCCTGCTCCCCTCATGTTTTTGTTTAATAGCAAATAGTAACAAGGCCCTGCTGGGCCAGCTGCACCCCTGCCCAAGGCATGCACCCCTGCCCAGACTGGCTCTTGCTGGGTCCTCATGACCCTCTCAGAGACGCCATCCTTATTAAATGCCTGTCCGACCAGCAGCCTGCCTGGCCCCAACCCAGCTTGGTGTGGAGCTTCCAGTGAGGGGGCCTGCTCTGCCACCCTTACTTCCATCCAAGCAGGCCTTGTGCCAGGGCCAGACAAAGCCAGGGCCCCAGCTGCTGCCCTCACAGTCTTTCTGGACAGTGCCACTCTGTTCCCAGCCTGCTGTGGGCATCATGATTTCATCTGCTGAACCCTGCTCAGAGCCAGTGCTGGCATTAGTGACAAGACCGTGCCTCCCGGGGATCTTCCTCAGGGTTCTGAGGCCTAGGGCGAGAGTGACTGGCCCCTCTCCCCAGGCAGCTCCAGCTCCAACTGTCTGTAGCAGAACCTGCCCAGGTCTTGCAAGTCTAGGGTAGAGGCCAGGATGTTCTGGGCTTGGGGAAGTAGAAGGGCAGCTTGGCTGGGCGGTGACCCAGGTGGGTCTCTACAGGGTGGCATGGCAGCGAGCACAGACATCGCTGGACTGGAGGAGAGTTTCCGCAAGTTTGCCATCCATGGCGACCCCAAGGCCAGTGGGCAAGAGATGAATGGCAAGAACTGGGCCAAGCTTTGCAAGGACTGCAAGGTGGCTGACGGAAAGGCTGTGACAGGGACTGATGTGGACATCGTCTTCTCCAAAGTCAAGTGAGCCCCAGGCAGCCCCTGCTTCTCATGTTCCCAGGGGGTGGGGAACTGGGGGGCTGGAACCAGGGAGGACATAGAGAAGGGGTCAGGGAAATACCATGATCACAAAGATCATTCTTCCAAGGAAAACCTTATCTATTGCCCTCCAGAGGTGCTGACTCCTGAGATTTCCCCAAATGTGGGAAAGAAACTCAATTGCATAAATTTTGGCGGCAGGGACTATGTTTGTGCTTTCCCCAGGGGGAAAAAAAGGGGAACACTCATGACGCCCACATGCCTGGCAGGGGGAAGTCTGCTCGGGTCATCAACTATGAGGAGTTCAAGAAGGCCCTGGAAGAGCTGGCAACCAAGCGATTCAAGGGGAAGAGCAAGGAGGAGGCCTTTGATGCCATCTGCCAGCTGGTGGCAGGCAAAGAGCCAGCCAATGTGGGAGTCACTGTAAGTGCCCTGCTGGTCTCAGGTGGCCATGGAAGGGGGTGTGGGGAATCTTGACTGTCAGTGGGAAGGGCTGGGCTCCCTCACCAGGTGTCCCTGGGTAAACTCTCTCCCAACAGAAAGCAAAAACAGGGGGTGCTGTGGACCGGCTGACAGACACCAGCAGGTACACAGGCTCCCACAAGGAGCGCTTTGACGAGAGTGGCAAGGGCAAGGGCATTGCAGGACGGCAGGACATCCTGGACGACAGTGGCTATGTGAGCGCCTACAAGAACGCGGGCACCTATGACACCAAAGTGAAGAAATGAGGCTTGGGAAGACCGTCCCCCCCAGTGCGGCTGCTCCTGCCAGAGGCTCAGGCCTGGGTCTAAGGGGCACATGGAGCAAGAGAGCCTGGTCCCCTCCCTGCTGGACCTGCCACCCAGAGCTTCCTGCCCACAAGGCCTCTGACCCAGGCTGCTCTGCGGCCCCTTCTTCCTCCTCTTCCCACCCCAACTTCTGTCCACCTGGGGACAGTCTATGCCTGTAGCCTCATGACCCCAACCCAACCCCGGGCATGGCTAATCCCTGCCTGCTTGCCTCATATTTAAGCTGCTGCTCTGGCCAAGTGCCTAAAATTCTAACCCAGACCTCAATAAAGACACCTTTTGTACCAATATGACCTGGTTGACGATGATGGGGATAATGACATTCACACCCCAGTGATCTGCTCTGTGTCATCACCCCACTGCATGCCACACACTGCTCATCTCTCCCCTTCCCCTGGCAGTCCTGCCCAGAAAAAGGGACACATAAATTCCCTTCTGTTAGCACAGAGCCGTTCTGTCTGAGGAGACTCCTGAGGTAAGTCCAAAGCCTTTTAGCTGGGCCTGACGGGAGACCTGACATCCAAGCTTGCTTTCCTGTGATCAGTGCCTTGGGTTTGGAGACTCAGCCCCTTCTCCACTTTCACAGCAGGGGCCGACTCCACCTGGGCCAAGCCTTGGCAGAGGCCCCAGAGCCAGGCCTCAGCTCTCAGCCTGCGAACAGGGGCTACCAAGGCAAGTCATTTTGGGCTCTGGCTCAGAATATCAGAAAAGGGAAGGCCAGGCAGAACCTTAGAGAGGAGCTCATCTGACTCCGTAATTTTATAGCTGAGGAAATGCCCAGAGAGTGGAGGGGGCTTCTGCAGACTAGAGGCCAGACTAGTCCTTGCCTCCCAGGCCAGGCTCTTTCCAGCAAGCAAGCCCCAGCACTGACTTCTAAAACTGGGACTGGCTGACTGGTGATGGGGCTTGGCACCCAACACCAGCCTGTGGTGGCAGGCAGGGCATCCCTCAGTGAAGGGGCCTCCTCTTTGATGCCCTCCCATCTGTTCCACATCCCCGGTGGGTGAAGGGGAGGCCTCTCTGGACCTGAGGATGCCTGGGCGTTCCCAGATCATCTCACTAAGGTGCTGAGTGTTTGACAGAGCTATTCCCAAGCTAAGGCTTTCAGGCCACCTCTCCTTCCTTCCTTGCTGTGACAATGGGGCTGAATGGGACTTTAGGGCCTACCCAGGAGAGAGTAGCTCCCAAAGGGGTTAGAAAAGGCATAAAAGGCCCAGTTCCCAAATGCCTGCTTTCCCCACCCAGGTCACAAGGCAAAGCAGCACCATTGTTTACCCTCTCATCCCACAGGCTGTTGGGGGGTGGTCCTGCCCAGGTGGCCTCACGTCCCTGGAGCCCAGCTTACCTTAGGGACAGGGTATAGCAGAATAGTGTGGCTGGAGACAGGAATGTCAGGCGGGAATCAGCAGGCAGCAGGTGGGCACCTTGCCACAGCAGAGCCTTGCCTTGCAGCGCAGCTCCTCCTGATCCGGCTGACCGCTTCTCCTTGAGTGGCCCAGGGAAGAGCTTCAGGGACCTTCAGGCAGACCCTCCCACCAGCAAATGTTAAGAGGTAGAATGGAAGGCGTTTAATGAAAAAAAAAAAAAAAAAAATGCAGAGGAACAATTCCTCTAGCCTTGGAGAATTTGTTTGAATTGCAAGCTCTACTTAAAATGAGCATAATAGGAGTGAAAACCAAACCCTCTGGCTTTCACCAAAACAGCCTCACAGGGAAGCAAATTTAATTGTGTTCCAAATTGGGCCAGGCTCCCACTATTCCCACTGCAGGTGACAGTACCATCCAATGGTAGAGGGACCAGCAGCTCCTCCTTTACTGTGACTGGCAGTGTGGCTTGGAGGAACACAGAGAGAATGGTTGAGCCCCCAAGCCGCACCTCATAGGAGTAAACCCCCCTCTTCTCAAAATGCCATTAGGGAGCCTAAGGGAATTCAAAGCCCACTCAGGGCCAGGAGGACCCTAAGACCAAATGGGTCTAGGAGAATCTGGCATATGGCAGTGGCCTAGCAATGCCACTGCTCCTCCCCTAGCAGTGTCCTTGTGGTTGAAAGCTTTGGATACCCTTGCTAGTAAAATCAGGCTGGACAAAGGAGAGGTTAGGATTGGAGGGACGGAGCCTTTAAAAACCTGCTCTGTCCTGAAATACAGCAGGGGGAAAAATAATTTTAAAAAAATAAAAAAAATAAAAACCTGCTCTGTATGGCTGGGGAAGTCCCAACCTGAGAGTGGCTCTGCCCCTCCCTCTGGGCACAGAACCTCCCTGAGGACCAGTCTCTTGTTTGCTTTCTGGTGGTAGTGCCAGGCCTAGGCTGTGGGATTCTGCTCCATGTGTTGTCTGCTTGTTTCAAGGGCCCTCTGCTCTCTATGTTGAGTCCAGTTAGCCCCGCAGGGTGACAGCTCTTTGGCTTTCTCCTGACATCACAACCCCTACCCCTGCCCTCTAGACCAAGTGCCATATAGGGAAAAATCAGAAACACAGAGGACTTCCCCAGGAGTGGCCAGCAACCCTAGCAGGTGCCTGGCCTGGGGCAGGGTCAGCCACTTTCAATGACAATGGAAAATAGGGGGGAGAGTGGCTCGGGGTGGGCCAGGCTCTTTAGAGGTGTCCTGCGCAGATTCTGGGGCTGGCACCATCAAAAGTTCATAGGGAAGCAGGAAGGGCTGGGGTGCAGGAAAGCAGTGTATTATTCCTCCCCACCCCCTGGTATGTCCGTTAGGTTGGCCTGTACACTGGGCTGAGACCCTGAAATATGGCAACTCAGGGATGCAAGGCCACTGGCTGACACTCCCCTACCTGGGCAAGATGATTTGGCTGTCTCTCAGTGAGACAAAGACAGGCCCAGAAGAGTGGCAGTGGGGGTGCAGGGAGGCTGCTCTTACTGATGTTTCCACAGAGCACAAGCTTGTTCTACCTCCCTCAGAGCCTCGCAGCTCAAAGAAACCTCTGGCTCCTCTGTACAAGCTGCTTTTGGGAAGCCACTTAAAATCTAGAAGTCTGTGGATTTATAATAAGTTAGAAACTTGTGACAGTCATGTCTCATTAGAATGGTGGTGGCACTCCTTCCCTGCACAGCACAGAATCAGGGGTGCAAATAAGTTGTCTAATCCTTCCACCTGTCTCTGTCTCTGAGGTGGCCCTGAAGGTGAAGAGAAGTACCACGTGGCATTAGCTGAAAATCCTTCACCCTTTACACACTCTCTGGTGACATTAGCGCTCTGGGAGGCCACTGAAGCAGAAACATATTTAGAACTACTTGCATCATCTTTCCCCATTGATTTTTTAAAGCCCAATCAGGATTAAAAGTACAGAGCACCCACATGTAAACTGGATGCTGAGCCCAAAGCTCAGTATTCAGAAATGGCTTATCTAGTGTGGCCTGCTTCTGCCTCCTCTCTGGGCTGTCTGGCTCCCTTTTGGTCCTCCCCTACTTCACACCATGGTCAACTCATTCTCATAAAGAAAGCTGCTGCTTTTTTTTTAGAAGACAGGGTTTTGCTCTGTTGCCAGGCTGGAGTGTGGTGGTGCAATCATAGCTTACTGCAGCCTTGAACTTTTGGACTCAAGCGATCCTTGTGCCTCAACCTCCCTAGTAGTTGGGCCCACAGGCATGTATCACCACACCTGGCTAACTTTAAAATGTTTTTTTTGTAGCCGGGCGCGGTGGCTCCAGCCTGTAATCCCAGCACTTTGGGAGGCCGAGGTGGGTGGATCACGAGGTCAAGAGATGGAGACCATCCTGGTCAACATGGTGAAACCCCATCTCTACTAAAAATACAAAAATTAGCTGGGCATGGTGGTGCGTGCCTGTAATCCCAGCTACTTGGGAGGCTGAGGCAGGAGAATTGCCTGAACCCAGGAGGCGGAGGTTGCGGTGAGCCGAGATCGCACCATTGCACTCCAGCCTGGGTAACAAGAGCGAAACTCCGTCTCAAAAAAATAAAAAATGTTTTTTTGTAAAGATGGGGTCTAACTTGCTTTGTAAAATGATCAAAAAAAAAAAAAAAAAAAAAAAGAGATGGGGTCTACCTGTGTTACCTAGGCTGGTCTCAAACTCCTGGTCTCAAGCTATCCTCCCACCTCATCTCCCTCAGTACTGGGATTACAGGCAGGAGCCCCTGTACCTGGTACTGAGAAAGCTTCTCAAACCCAGTCTGTCACTCCTCTGCCTTCCCAATCTAAAATCTTCAAGGAGCGGTGCAACCTTGCTCCTGCTTACCTCCTCTCAGCCCCTCAGCTCCCTAAAGAAACCATGTCCCTTCCCATTTCCCGGCCTTCTCACATGCTGCTGCTCTCTGCAGCTTCTCCCCACTGCTCTCGCTCTCAGCCACATGCTTTGCCTGGTAACCTCTTCATGTCTCCCCCCTTCATGAAAGATCACTTGCTCTGGGGACATTCTCATGACATTATACCTCTTCCATGTCCCACATTTCTGTCCCTGCCCCACTATCCCACTGTGGGGGGGGGGGGGTTCCAGACTCTTCTATGTACTCTTGGCCTAGGAGGCTCTGCATCCCCTGTACCTGCTACCGTTCTTATTCATTCTTCAGCTTCCATTCAAACAAGCCTTATTGACGCCCTCTCCAATCCTACAGTGGGCATTATTCGCTCTTTCTCCCTCTTCAGGGCATCTCTGGGCTTTTGTTTAGACCTATTTGGTACCAATCCCAAGCTTTGGGCCCCATCACATTAGTTTTTGCTTTTTTCCTTAACTAAATAGTTGGCTGCTCCAGGGCAGACACCAGATGTTGTCAGCTTTTCACCATGGCAGGAGGTAATCAAACCCTGTTTGATGAATCTGGCGAATGTTCTTTTTAAATTTTCTACCACACAGTTGCAAATGACACAGGGGAAAAATGTCTAGCGTTTTTTTCCCTTTCAACATTTTCAGCCAAATATCTCTATGCAATGTCTGTACAATAGCTGGGACCAAGTGCCAACTATTTCTGTGGGCAGAAGGAAAGAATGACTTAATAGGAGGAGATAAATAAAAAGTGGGACTGACACAATCTAATTAGAATACATTTCTTTCTTAATCTTTGTGAGTACATACATCATACTGGTGGCAATGGTGGTGAGAGCCTGTGTGTGGACCAGGGAAGCTGTGGTGTGAGTTTCATGCTAGCTCCATAAGCCAGGCTCTGGGGTAGCATCCGAGACGCTCTGTATTAGATACTGACCGGTGTCATGTGCCACTGGTGAGGAGGAAGACAACGTGCTTTTCCCAAAGGGCGATGATCTCCCCAGATGATGACCCTTCTCAGGAGGCAGAAGCGCTTTCCCGGAATAAC